GTCAGCCAAGGTTAGAATATAGTAAAAGTTCTTTATGGATTATAATTAAATGTGAAATTTGTTTTGAAAATAAACATTTTGTTATTAGAGCCTCGTCAGTGAGGTTTAACATTATTAACTTTTCTGGTCACTTTATCACTGGTCTGAATTAGCCGAACTTCCTTAATTTCCTGAAGATGATGGCGACTCGGCTTTGCTTTCTATATTGCTGTGGGGCACTGAAAGTTAAGATCTATTCTAGCCAGTCTTGAATGCCGCCGTGCATCCTGATCCTTCAAGGATAAGATTGATCGTAAACTTGTATGCCATATGGTGCGACTTTTTGCTTGTCCGAATTTCGTGGTCTTCAACACACCCGGAACAAAGAAGGCAAAATGAAACTAAAATGAAAACACATGAGATCCCATTTCAACAACCCGCTGATGATCTCGAATGGCGATAAATGCTCAGAAAGGCTTGAGGGATCTGTAATGAGACGCGTCGATTCCCCTCCCCATTCACTTGACACTCACTTGTCCTACTCTGGTGGCAAGAGCTGCCAAAATTGTTATGATCAGCAAAACTGGTATTTTAGACTTTTTTTTAATAATGTCCCATGCAGACTAGGGAAATATGTAACCTTCATAGCAAGCGGGCAAGGTCAATCTCAAATTGTTTACTCTTCGTGGACAATTTCACTAACATTTTTGCAGGCTTGTGTACAAAGAAGAATGGAGACTATGTTAAGTTGCTAGGACAGATTGGTAGATAATCGGAAAATGAAAGCTGAGGAGATAAGAAAATTAAAAAAAATGTAGATTAAGGGACAAGTGAAAAGTTTGAATGGGTCGTTACATGAGGGAATGGATATGTCTGTGTAACCAAGTATATCGAGTGCCAAACAGATAGAATGATTTGGTTTTATACGAAACGGGCAATGGGCAATTTACCTGATTAGAAATGAATCAGAATCCAAAAGATTTTCATTGTCTTTTGACTTTTCTTCTTTAGTATAAGGCAATTGCAATCTTTCAGTTTGGTCCGACTCTGCTACTTTGCTTTTGCTTATATTTTGCCCTCTTCTTACGGCATTCCCTTTACTGTCTTCGACCAGACACCGTTTCGGATTTTCTACTTCCTGCTGCTCGGATGCAGTTGAATTCACCGTCGGAGTCAACTCAACTTGCCGGTTTGCTGTGTTCATTTCGGTCGCTTTAGCATAGCTGCTATGACCATTTGTCCTACTTCTGTCTTCTTCACCTTTGACAGATTCACTATCTTTTTTGCATTGTATAGACTCCTTTGGAGCCAGAGTAGTTGTGGAAGGCTCTGAATTTACAGCTTTCCGATCGACCTCTTGGCCATTGCCACGCCTAGCCGCTCCTTCGCTGTTGCGGTCCCTACCAGTCCTATTCGAAGAGAAACCGTTCGTCTTTACTTCGGTAAACTCCTTTCCCTGTTTCTCGGAAGCCTTTTTCCCACTCCTATTCAAAGTGAGCAGTCGAAGCCTGCCCAAGCGGTTGCCACCAGGATCAGCTGAATATTTCCGGTCTGGATTACGCAGACGGTGCAATTCTTGCATAAGGCCCTCCATCTGTCGCTCAAGTGACTTTATCTGTGAGTAAAATAATTATAAAAAATAGACCAAGCGAAGGATAGTTATTGTGAGATAACATTTCTGGATAGGCTCAGAGTAAAAATTACTGTTACTCATGAGTAACATAATCTTTTAGTTGTATTTTTTAAATCTATCTTTGGTGTCGGAGACGTTAAGTCTAATCATTCGGGAACTATAACAAACAATTTGGTGATTATGAGATGTATGCACCTTCTTTCGTTTGAGATGATGAAAGACTGGTAGTTGAATTTTTCCACGATGATACATAGCCTTACTTTTCCAGAAGGTCTTCTCATCAACGAGGGACCGTAGTTTCGACATCGCCTAGGTCTTACCGACAACCGTAGCGGGAGTCGAACCATGACATTGTAGCGTGCAATCTCGACACGTTGATCATTACTCCACACTACCACGAGTGTCCTAGGGTCACAGGGCAGATGTGATTGTCAATTTAAGCTAAGTATTTTCCCATATCACATTCTTTCGTGGGAGTTTGCTGAAGCAAAGTTATATTTGCTATGGGAATCGACTATATTAATTACTTTTCGAGACTACCAATAAATAAGTTATATGGGGTGTATTCACCCTATCTCGTTTAAGATGATGAAGAATCGGTAGTTGAAATTCAGGGGCTATGCGAAATTCAATAGAAACGTCAGGTCTACTCATATCATTATGGGAAAATTCAACAACAAGTCCTTCATCATTTTAAACTAAATATGGTGAAAACGTCTTATATGACTCATTTATGGTAGTCATGAGAGCCTATTTATGGTCGAAAATTTGGTGAGTGTTGTAAATAACAGTTTCTGGCTCTGACGATGCCGTTGAAGGTCTACTCGCAGGGCGGTGAGTTGTGGTCTTCTTCGCAAAATCTAATAGTTACAACACCATGGCAACCCTCGTTCGGTATCCGATGTAACCAATTTGCGAATCCCTTCCATCCATCTTTTCAAACGAAATAAAAGAAATGTTGGTATCAAATTACTCCACAGTCTATAGTGTGAAAGCATCCTCGCTTTAAGGCAAATGGGGTTTCAATAGAGCCCAGACCTCGTCATCATTTAGGCTCGAGCTTAGTAGTTGCATGAGCACGTGCTCGAGCGACCATTGTATTATTCGTCAGAAAGACACTTTGTCAACAAGCCAAAATCAGCTTTGTAAAGACATAATTTCCTTCAAATCCTTTACTTGTAGGTGAATAATCTTTCGTCGAATATAGCCATTGCAGTGTAAACAGTAGAATTTGTTCGCTGCCAAATTTCTTCTTTAAGTCCTCAGGCATTTGCATGTATGCATGTGTTTCTCCAAGGAAACTCATCCTACAGATCAATAAATGTAGCCAAGTGTCAGGGTAAAATTTCAGGACACAACAAACCATAAAGTCACAAGTGGCCTGCTCTTTCTCACACTGGACAATGTGGCTAATAAGAATGTGATTTGTATGGTACATGAAATTTGCTGCAGAACACGTTCCTTCGACAAAGGTATTAAGGATTCTTCTGAGTAGCAAAAATTACTATTTGAAGAAGAACAAAAGCACATGTAGATTATAGCCATGCCGCTATGTGGAAGCTAAATTCTCTTTAGGGAATGGCTTTCAAACATAGGCTTGACGTCACATTATTATTTTGTTATTATTAATATTATTAAACTATACTATATTATTGCTATTATTAGTAGTAGCAGTAATGTCAGTAGTTGTTGTTGTCTTACAATCAGCAAAGCCCCATAATTTAAAGAGTGGCATAACTCTGCAGATTTGAAAGTAATGCTGTTCCAGAAAACAGTTGTAATTCGTTGCTAAGTGAGAGTTTCTTAAACTGTTTCGCTGGTTTAGTCACCACGTGACGACTCATTCATGGGGATAAGAAGTATAAGTGTTTTTTCTGGAAATATCCTCGCGTATCAGCATTGATTTGACTTTCCCTTTGGACAACGTTGTGTGATGAGGCGATTTGTAGGTCGAGCCCAACAGAGGACGACAACGCATTCCTCTTGGCTTGCTTTCGTTAGTTTTTACTGAGACGTTTAGGTTGACGTAGTCCTAGAGCCGACTTCCATCAGTTGCAGCGAAAGCGTGTTAAGCTTTCAACTCTACAGACAGTTGACAGAGATGGAGTCTTCTGGTTATCTCGGGGCTACAACTAGAACAGCCAGCACCCCAGTTTCTCCATGCCAAGGTTATTCATAGAACGAATCAGGCTGTAAGAGATTAACGTTGAGCCAAACTCTTGCTAGGGCACACGGTCGCTGCATTCGCCAAAGGCTGGCAGAATTAAGAATTGCTTGTAGTGTTCACAAGTTGCATGGCACATGGTAGAAGCCAGATGTAAAGTGCTCTTTTACATGCTCCAAAACCCAAAATTAGATGAGAAAATGAAATTTGATGAATAGAAGGCACTTTTTGTTTATTGTTGTTACTTGCTGTAAGAAGCCAATGAAATCTAATTATTCTTAGTTGATGGCAGTTCCAGCTAGGACCCTCTCTTGCTTCTGATTAATGTCATACTTTTTGGATTGATGCCTAGAAAGCTAATCAACTCATGTTCAGAGAAAGTAGATTTCAAGACTATCACTATGTCTTTAATAAGACTTCCAGTCATTCTGTCATATAAAGTGAGGAAAGACTGATTGTTATATTTTTTCCACATTAATATATATAAATCTCACGTTTCCATTGGCTTCCAGTTAGCCTTACCTCCTAAAAAAGTATTCGTATCTCTGCTGAACTTGGCTGTAGTTTCGAATCTGCCTGGATCCCATCAATAGCCCAAGTGGAAATCGAACCCGGGTTGTGATGGTTCAGCGGTTATTTTCTAAATGTTGCAGAGGTCTCGCTTGCAGCACGTTTATAGTCTGACTCGATAAAATGAACTTGTATTTTGCAATTATGAGCGACCACGTTATTTATATTAATCAAATGTAGACATTGACATTTTCAATAGATTATGAATAAGAATGATGGCCATTTTCATACTACATCTCTCTATATTGAAGAACATTTGTGCATGTATCCATATTTATGTGCATGTGTATGTGAGTAAATACGAGACAAAGGAGAGAAATCGGGTTAGAAGAAAGTTTGAAGAAGATCACATACCTCAATTAATGTATATATATGCCCTTGGGTCGCAAGGCAGGTCTGAATTTCAAGGAAGGCTAGGCATCTTTCTTATATCACATACTATGGATGGATCTTCGATGAGATCTAGGCGAGGTCAAAACTGCAGTCAATTGCAGTCCACTTCGGCCTAGATACTAATAGATTTTGGGAAGCAACACTATGTGAATTCCGATGGAAATGTAAGGTCTACTTATATGATGGTGGGAAAATTCAACTATGAGTCACTTTAAACGAAATAGGAGTAATATATCTAATATATTTTCTGATTATATATACATATATATATATATATTACGGGGTACTGTATTCACGCTATTTTGTTTAAGTTTCGAAAGATTAATAATTGAATTTCACATCCAGGTTAGATTGGACTGCAGTTTTGACTTTGCCTATGCCTCCTCAAAACTCCCTTCAGGACACAATTTCAGGAAGAAATGTAAAGTGAAGTTCAATGATATTTTAATGTGTATGAATGATGGATAATTCAGGTATTAGACCTACATCAGTTTATTCGACCCAGAGTAATAGAATTCCTATTACTAAGCCTTAGTAACTCTTTTTATATATATATCGATTTATTTATTTATT